GGATTATTTGTTTCTGAATGCAGTAATTATATGGAATAATAGATTAAATCAAACTCAAAATTCCTTTAAGAGAACATATGATTGCAGGATAATTCTGTAACTTATCTTTGATGCGTTTGGATTGTTCACTCTTAAAAGAATCGAACTTGCCATTGTACAGTTTTTATTATTTAGTTATAATTTATATGGTTGCTAGTCATTCTGTGTAGTTTTGAGCCAGAAAGATGAGGAGCAAAAGCTTTTATAAATAAAAGTAGCACATAGAATTAATGTAATAACAAAACTCCAGAGCTATCCAATTAAATGAATGAATTGAATTACAAGCCATGCATTAATGGATTACAATTTTAAAAAACGTAGCTTTGACCTATTTCTCAATGTTCAATTAAGTTCTGTGGTCAACCTATGGTAACTATTGCATTTTCCCATCTACCATGATTACAATCCAGAGATAAAAAGGGAAATAAGAAAACTTTTATAAATTTATTAGTATTATTACTGATGAATGTTGCACATTAAGGTTGGTGTTTTATCATTCCTGTCATCAGTTGTAAAATATGAATGGTTTTAAAGTTGATTCATAATTCATTGGAGATGTCATTAAAATAACATGAGATTAAATAAATAACTATTCAACTCCTTTGTTTTGATTTATTTGTTTATAACCTGGTCTTCCAAATTAATAGCTGGTAATTTGCCTGAGGCTCTTCATTCAGTTTTCATAACATGAGCTATAAGCTCTGCGATGGTTCTTATATGAACAGTTGTTTCACTTGCAGAAATAATAGTAGGGGAAACAGCAGGAGTGGTAAGATGATATATAACCAAAGGAAACAGTTACTTAGAAAATTTGGGCATATGGGTTTGTACTCCATTTTTATCCATTTAAGAAAATCTATGCCAACTTGGAGGAATGGCAGAAGGGTATTAATAAGTTTATCTGGGCAGGGAAAAAACCAAGAGTTAAGTTTAAGATTATATAAGATGCACGGGAAAGAGGAGGACTTAAGGCGCCTAATTTAAAATTGTATTATGATGGCGGTGGCTTTAACTCTGATTAGTGATTGGCTTAAATTAACAAATAAAAATATACTTCTTCTTGAGGGATGGGATTTATTATATAGATGGCATGCATATTTAATTTATAATAAAAAAGTAGATCAGGTTTTTAAATCTCATATTTTAAGAAATGCTTTATTACGTGTCTGGAATAAGTATTATTATAGGTTAAATTATAAAATTCCAATTTGGGGGATTCCCGGACACGTGATAGAGGGGGTATCTAGAGGAGTGAATTTGGATAGGATTTCTTATAAGGAATTACTTAGTTTGGTAGGGAAGGACTGGCAATTAAAATCTTTAGCTGAGTTGAAGCAAGAAAATATTGTACATTTTTGGTTTCAATATACCATAGTCAATTGTTAGTTAGGTGGAGTTTAGATCAAAAGGTTGGTATTACTTTAGAGGATGTGAATTTGATAAAACAGATTAAAGATCAAACTCGAGCTCATATAAAGAGAATTTATAATGTCTTAATAGAATTGGATTCTGAAACTGAATTAGTTAAAGATTGTATGGTAAAATGGGCACAAAATATTCAAGAGCCGATTCTATTGGACACATGGGAGATAATTTGGGTTAGAAATGTAAAATTTACTCAAGCTCAAAGTTTGAGAGAAAATTTTTATAAAATGTTTTATAGGTGGCATCTGGATCCCCAAAAGTTGTCTCGTATGTATCCTAACTTGCAGCCCAAATGTTGGAGATGTGGTAGTTTGGATGCAACTTATTTTCATACTGTATTTGATGGACCTGTAGAAATATAAAAGCTTTTTGGATTAAAATTTGGTGGAACATTCAGAATATTTTTAAAAGAAAGATAAAGTTTACTCCTCAATTATTTTTGTTGGGTATTATAATAGATGTTGATGCTAAAGAAATTAACTTGATGTTGAATTTAATAACAGCAGCAAGGCTGCTGGTAGGGCAATATTGGAAGAAGGATTGTTTGCCTACTATAGAAGAATGGACGCTTAAAGTGTCAAACTTAGCAGAAATGGCCAAGATTTCTGCTTATTTTAAGGATTATTCACAAGAAACATACATTTCGGTTTGGAGAAAATGGATAGATTATATTCAGAATAAATATGGGACTAAAAAGTTCCATTTATTTTATGAATAAATTTTAGAGTATTATTACTGTTATTATTATTATCATTAGTAGTTTAGTATAGTGGAAATTTTATGATATTGTGTTGTTTAGATATTAGGATTTTAATTTGTTTATATGATTAAGTTTATTCTTAAATTGTTTACTTTGTGTTAAAAGAGAGTTAAAGCGCATTATATTTGTTTATTTATATAGTTGGTTAATGTTAGTTAGATTATGATTATTATATTTATTACCCTGTATTCAGCTCTGGGAAGTGGGGTAGGGGGGTAGGGTGAGTGGGTTTGGGGTATATTTTGTAATTTTTTGTAAAACCTTTCAATAAAAAAAAATCTATTATGAGGTAGTTTAAAAAAAAGCAAGTAAGTATGTTTTTGTAAATGTCACATTCTGAACTTTCTCAGTGGCCATAAGGCACAACTCTGTGCTATTAGGAATCCTTCTTATTTAAAGATCCACAAATTTCAGCTGCGTATTCTAACCAAACACTGTTTTTTCTCATAATGAGACAACTCGCCATGGCCAACTTGCCATGGGACATCTTGTTGAGGGACAATTTAACAATTCACTTTTTAAAAATGAATTAAAAAAAATTAATTTTTTTCATTCGCGTTTCATTTTGTCCCTCCTTTTGTATCCTTTCTTTAATGATTCTATTCCACCATTTCTTTGATATTAGTGTAACTCTTGTCCCGCAGCAAGTTATTGCATGACGAGTTGGCTGCAGCAAGCTGGCCGTGGTGAATTGGCCATGGGAAATTGTCATAGACCTGTTTTTCCTTGGGATACTTGCTCATCGTTTCTCTGAAAAGAGGGCTGAGAATACAATTGGACATGATAAAGATTTTGGAGAAAGTACAAAGTAGCCTCTGCCTTGGTTCTTTCAAATTTCCCCAATGGCTGGTTATATAAGAGCCATTTGTGCCAGATTTGAAGGAAAGATTACTGAGCAATATATGATATGTCAGTTTATTACTAGGAATCAGTGAACTTAGCAACCAGCAAAAACCATTTTATGATTGTCAATGCTGGCTGGCCAACTGTGGTTGTTAATCCCATACTTTTATTTGTCTGGAGTTGTTCTTTGACAAATCATTTTCTCCTGCTGTTTTTAATGTTGTAAGATCATCAAGTACCACACATAGTAATTTTTATATGTATTTTCCTTATCTGGGGGAGGCTAACAAAGAGTTATATGAAGTCTAAACTCTGATTACCTTTGAAAATGCTCTGTTTATGGCTTGCCAAGAATTAATTGACAAATTATTGTTACTTGCAAATAATTTGTAGAATGAACGAGTTCACATGAGTTAAAATCTGAATCAGTTTGAATTTTGAGATGGCTAAATATTCATGAAAGCATTTACCCAAAAAATATTTAATGTTCTCAGATTATTTACCTAGGATGTTATTGGAGTGATGCTGTAATTGACTTTAGTAAGCTTTACTTTATGTCAGTTTATAGTTTTGAAGTGGAGCAGCATCAGATAATAGCTGAATATCTGAAAGTCATGTGGATTCACATGACTCTTAACACATAAGAATAACTTAAACAATACTTTTTCAACAAACATACAGTGAATTGGTTTCTTTAAGCCTTGTAATTTTTTTCTGAACTGGTAGCTTTAAAATGTTTGTGTCTAATGATGAACAGCTCTACATTCATCTTGTGTAGGTGTCTGGGAAATGTTCTTAATATCTATGTAGCTTTAGAAGATGCAATCCAGACCTTGTGAATCTCATTATAGTGCTTTCTAAACTAGAGAATAATTGAAAAAGCTTTCTCACAACTGGACATTGTAAGAAAATGTTATTATCCAGAGAAATATATCTACCAGAAACTTTTAACAAACTTCCAACTAACTCCAGGGTCCTCTGAAGCATAGATCAAAAGCCATTGCTTATACCAATTGTCCTTACTAGAAACTAAGCAAAATAAAGTATGTTGAATCATATCCTACCAAGAGTTAAAAACAAGCGTTACTGTGGTGCAAATGGTAGAATTCTTTAATAGGTCTCATTTATTGTTATATCCCCCTTGGGCAATCTATATAAACTGGATGACAACAATGCCAGGTATCTAACAGAGATATATAAAATGACGTTCTCCCAAAGAAACTCTGAACAGAGCTTCATAGAATATTCATATCAAGCATGTGCTAGCCTAGAAATGCAGACCATTTGAAATGGATATTTTTGAAAAGAAAAATAATGATGATTTTAAAAAGAAATGATGGTGATTTAAAAAAAATATGATGCTTTTGAAAATAAAACATTATGGATAAACCACAATTTTAACAATTTCTTTGTAAAAGAAATACTACGTAATGGTGCTTTTTTAAGCCTCATTTTCTGCTCCCAGCATTCCAAATAACATTAGTCTTTGTATTCCGATTATCTGGCAGTTCTGAAAACAAAATCCCATTTTACATAATACAGTTTAATATTATGCATTTCTGTAAGATGCAAATACACTATCTCTTAAGAGTTTAGCTCTGTCTGACTGGTAGCTTCTAAATAAAGACAGAATGGTATTACGGTCTTGGTAAAATAATTGTTGGAATCATCATCAGAAAAAAGACAATAGTGTCAAGTTTATATATGAGAGAGAAAGAGGCAGGAAATATTCTTTGTATCTTTTATATATTATTATGCAACATACAACATTTATATGTCATCAGAAGTGTTTATTGTTTATTGCTTGCTTGAATAAAATAATTGGGGTGCTTTAGAACAAAAATCTGGAAAATCAGATGTGTGCCAAGAATAAACAAGTTGGTAAGCCCTGGTCCAATGGTAATTCTGGTGTTGTTACTTTTACATTTTGCAGGCTGTTTTTGCATCTGAATACCTGAAGCATTTCTGATTAAGGGAGATGTGATTGGTGCACAGGATCAATATGCAAGACTCTATTCTGACAGCAGTTTTGATGGTCACTAGTCTGGAAATAATATGTTTGGGAAGCCCAGCAATGGATGATTCCCAGTGCCAAAGGATTGAGCATCCTATTATTACAAGTGAAGGTAAGTAGCCAAGAAAGAACTTTTCCAATTAATTTGGTAGGAAGGAAGATCAGATTTGGATCTTTATAGACCAAGACAAATGTCTGATCTTTTGTGCATCATTTATAGATATCTCATCCTGTTTAGAGGATTTGTACATAAAGGATAGGTGTCTGTGCAGAGCTCTGTTTATAATTCTCTAGAATTTATGGAATCGTCAATCAGCATTTATGGAATCATTTAGTAGAAGCCTTTATCAAAATCTTTTAGTTTGCTTTTGACTGCCCTAAGGCTAACAGAGTTGCCCTTGAGCTAATAGTCATATGACTATGTTATCATTTTTTATTTATTTTTTTATTTTTCCACTCATCTTCAAAACTCCTTAGATTTGTTTTTCAGGACACCTTAACTTCTTCTTCTTCTTTTTGGCTTGGTAAAAGTTATGCAGTAAATATTTGTAAGTGCTGCTAGGTGTTGACCAGCAAGCTGATTGCTATGATCCACATTTGCATATGGATCTGGGGCAGTTTTAAGGGTGGCAAACTGTGAAGATATTGTAGTCCCCTTCTTTTTATCCAAGTCATTGATTTGTGTCTGCAAAATTGTCTATCAGTGTTCTCCCTTTGAAATTCAATTCTTTGTGTCCTGCCAAGAAGCCTACTGCAACTGATCAACACAGAATAAACAGTCTGTTAAAGGTTCAGTAGCCTATTAAGAATAAGCGGCCTATCCATCTGATTCCAGCAGGACAAAAAGGAAATGAGATCTCTGTTCATAGTTCCAGTTCCAGGAGTCTTGAGTTCCTGTACATGGTGGTGTCCTTGAAGTACGCTAACAGTGGTTCTGTTTCGACTGTCCAATTCTTACCAGCTCAATGATTTTGGATAATGAGAGTAGAGATGTATCTCTTTTAGATGTATCTTTGGACTGTCTTGTTATTCATCAAGACAATTGAAATCAAGGTGTTTCTCCACCAATGGGTTTTCTCTGTCTGCCTGCTCTTGAGACCAAGTAGCCAAACTTGACATGCCCCCTCTTGCTAGGAGATCCAGTCTTGACTTGGTCTCAGCTCTTGAAGACACATCAGGTTTGGCTCTCTCAACAGCTAGCAGGTCAGATACATTGGTGAATTCTCCTTTCCCTATAGTCACCCTTAACAATTTAATTATAAAGTAATTTGGAATCCTTCCCAATTTCCCTACAGCGCTGGGATCAGTGCTGACTCAAATCACATGATTTGAGCAGTGAGGGGTGGGGGGAGCTTTCTGCAGCTTCCCCTTCCTTCCATTTCTCCAGGGCTCTGGGGAAAACCTTTCTGGGCAGGGGCTACCTGGATATATATCTCATTCTCCCCCCCCCTTTATTTGAGCTACCGGGCAGACTCTCTGCTACAGGCTTGAAATTCTTTTTTCAAATTCGGAGCCTCCGGATCATCTCTGGCAGCCAGGGACACCCGTGGACGCCATTTTGGGTGCTGTTGAAGGCGCCGAACTCAATTTCACCCCATTTTTTTGCCTGCCATTTGGAGGCAGTCTCGCTGAGGACATTTTCGGCACAGCACTTAGCGCTGCCATCAGGATCGGCCCCAGCTCCTGAAACCTTGCCTTTGAGGCCTCTGGAGGCCGTTTTCACAGAGAGCAAGTCACGGCTGCTATTTTAGGGCCGCCAACAAAGGCAGCGAGGACACAAAAAGCTTTCCTCAGTGTCCTCGGCATTCTGGCCTTCATAGGTGGCTCAGCTCACTTTAACTTTCTGAAATTGCTTCCCTGCTCAGGCTGTACACCTCTGGGCATTTCTATAAGCTAAGGCAGTTCTCGGCGGCCGCCACTTTGAACGCCACCTGGGAGCTCCTTTAGGCCCAACCAGGCCTATTTGTAGTAGTTGGCCTGACTCAGGCCACATTTGAGGTGTGTGTTTCATTCATCACAAATCACTTACCACAATACAAACAACAATTGACTAGCCGCCATTTTAAACCTGATCCTTTCTTGCTAGGCCTTGTCTCAGGCCCTCTGCGCCCTTCATTGGGGTTTTTTGATTTTTCTGGTGCACCTTGACTGGCCACCTAAGGCCTCCGGGCAGAGCCCAGAGCGGGTCCCCAACCGTTCCTTCGCCATCTGACTCAATTGCTGTGACCAAAGCCCAGATAGATTATTTTCTGGTCAGGTGGTCAGGGGAGCAGTCTTGTTACTTGTTCCAATTTCGCTTCTGCCAACTGCTTGCCTGCCAGAGCTTCGCCTCAGTTTCCCTGAGACTGCTCAACCAGGATGGAAGACTCCATGATGCCTCAACCCATGAGCACTGCCTCCCCATCCTCCAGTTACGGCCGGCACAAATCCTCTGAACAGGAGGTGGCAGGCAAGCCAAATCTAAGGCTAAGTCCACTCTCAAGAAGTCTTCCAAGTTGGCAGATAAACAAGCCAGCCGTAGGCACCAGGCTCTGGAGAAGGAGTTCTCCAGAGCGCAGAGGCAGGCTGGATTAGAGACGAATCAAATGGCAGTCCCTGAATTTGACCTTCCTTTAGGCCCTTCAACCTCAGCTCAAGGTGTGTGGCAGGCGTCTCTCACAGGGACGCCTGCCACACTCAGCTCGCCTTCCGCGTTAGCTCAACACGCAACAACAGTTTCAGGTTCAGCCCCAGAGGCCACCTTCACTTCTACAGCCGCATGACTCAGGGGACCAGACATCGGGGACACTTTCTCCAATAGCCGTCTTGAGGCCTTGCTATCCAAGGTTGTGGACCGAGCTCTAGCAGAACGGTCCTTTCATCCACCTGGTCAGGGGGCTTCCACATCAGCCATGCCACCTTATGTTCCTCCTACGAGGTTCCCTACACTTCAGGAACCCACATCTCCCGCACACTCCTCCATGAGCAGATACTCTTCCCCACAAGGTGAGGAGCAGCCGGAATTTAATCTATCAGAGGAGGAGGAACTTCCCCCTGAGCCCTTCCTATTGGGAGGTCTGTTCAATCCAACCCTGTGTCTCCCCCTGATTCACGAGGCCACATCAACGGCAAACATAGGATCCGATCAGTTCCCTCAGCCGCAGGCAACATCGGATTCCAGCCCAAATCTGATATTTTTTGAAACGGTGGCAGCCCAACATCACGTTCTGTGTCCCTCTATTTTTCTGAAGGGGATCAAGAAACAATGGGCCTCCCCTTCCTCCTTCCCTTCTGTAAGCGGGACTGACAAAAAGATTTTTAGCACCTCCACAGACCTCACTGATGCATTGGAGGTCCCCAAGGTAGACGAAGCCTGGACCCCTCTGGTATCCAGACTGCGGTCGCTGGAGACATGTCGGAGGCGCTTAAAGCGGATGACAGAAAATGGGACCAAACTTTACGGAAGACCCATCAATCAGCAGCATGGGCAATTAAAACGGCCACTTTTGTGTCCTTTTTTGTCCGGACTACCCTTTTATGGCTTCGTCAGCTTCAGGCCAGAGTCCCTGCTGAGGACATTCGAACCCACCAGGACCTAAGCAAAATGGTGGCAGCCACTGAGTATGCTGCGGATGCAACACTTCAGTCGGTCAACTTTGCTTCTAGGTCTCTAGCATCCAACATTACAGCCAAAAGGATGCTATGGCTGAAACACTGGCAGGCTGACGCCAATGCCAAATGGCGTCTAGCGACTGCTCCTTATCTGGGCAATAATCTTTTTGGGGAGGCCCTGGCCCCGTACCTTGTGGAAAATAAGGACAAGCAGAAGGTCACGGCTCACTTGAATAAACGGTCCGACAAACGTCCCGCTCCCTACTTTCATAGGCAGTCCTTTCGGCCGGCAACAGGCCCTACAGTTGCTCAGCCCTCCCGCTCATACACTCCCAGACAGGACAGACTGTATGACTGCCCTTATGACAGGCCAGGCTTTCGGCCCAGGCAGCAGAGCCAATCAAAGCAGCCATTTCGAGGTGCAAAACGCCCCTACAGGGGGTCCAAGTGACTCTTACACTACACTTCCCATTGGGGGAAGGCTGACCCACTTCTTCCATTGGTGGGAACTCACTTAAACTGACACCTGGGTCTTACAAACCATCCAGTTTGGTCTCCCTGGAGTTTCTTGCCAGTCCCCTGTACCGCTTCATTTCCTGGGATCCACTCAAACAGGGACTTATGCAGGAGGCCATTCAACATCTTCTAGAGATTCAGGCCATAGAACCAGTACCACTGGATTACATGGGAGGGGGCTTCTACTCCATCCTTTTCATGGTCCCCAAGACTCGGGGGGATGGAGAGCAATTCTAGACCTCAAAGGTCTGAACTATTACATTACTTACAAGAAGTTCAAGATGCAATCGCTCCAGTCCATTCTGGGGGCCATCAGACAAGGAGTCAATAGACCTCATGGAAGCATATCTCCACATCCCCATCCATCCAGATCACTGGCGGTTCCTCAGGTTCTGTTACAGGGGCAGTCATTTCCAGTACAAAGCCCTTCCCTTTGGCCTCTCCTCAGCACCCAGGGTGTTCACCAAGATCCTGGCTGTACCAGCTGCCCACTTGAGGAAGGTACCAGTACGCGTCCAGTGTTACCTGGACAACATCTTGATTCAAGTGTCTTCCTTCTGGGCAACCCAGTTGAATATGGAACTCACTTTCAGGTCCTCCAACAGCATGGTTTTTCGGTCAATTTCCGCAAAAGCCAGACGGCTTCCTCATCTAGGCTTCTGCACCTGGGAGCTGTCATAGACACCACCAACTGCATGGTCTATCTCTCCCAGGAGCGGTTGGTCAGCATCAGGGAGCTGGCTCATCGGGTATACAGGGACCGCACCGTTCCGCTGGTCTTACTCTCCCAGCTTCTGGGAAAGATGGTCTCCTGCATAGCCATAGTCCCCTGGCCAGACTCCATTTGCGGGACCTTAAGTGGTTCCTACTACCATTCCAGCGAGTGAATGCCAGCGCGTCCAACAGTCAGGTCAGGATCCCGGTCCACATGCTCAGGTCTCTACGCTGGTGGTTCTCACAAGCGGTGACCAAGGAGTCACCCTTCAAGGAACCAGACCACATCAT